GGGGGGGGGGGTTGGGGGAGGCTGGTTTCAGTATGTGCTAATGTGAGATAACAAGCTAGGGCATTTGTAAGTCAACCAGCAGATAGCACCAAACTTCTATGTCAACCAAAAAAGCTCTTCTATGTCAACACCCTGCATTATTTTCATGACCACATCCTAAGCAAACAGGCTGGGGCCTAGGGCCACACACAGAATCGATTTCCAGTCCCCATGGTTCTCGTCCCTTGCGTCTATCCCCCTCGTCCTGCCCCTGGACCTGCTCCCTCACTGCCCAGCCGCGGCTGCCTTTGCGTCTCAGGTGTGTCTGTCTCCGCGCCTCTGGGGACATGGCTCCCTCTGTGTCTGAGGGTCAGTGTCCCCTGCCTGGGCACTCGGCGTTTCTCCCGTCGCCAGGACCTGGGTCTCCCCAGGTTTCCCCGCTGGCTCTTCCCTGCCTCCTGCTGCATTTGATGTCGCAGGGTCTCGCGCTCAGTCTCCCCCTCCCTTTTCTTTGATTCTGGCAGTTTCCTTTCCCAGAACCCAACGTCCTTGTCCTATAAGAACACCAGTCACATTGGTTTAGAGTCACCTTAATGTCCTTGTCTTAGCTCAATCATCCCTTCAAAGGCCCCAGCTCCAAATACAGTCACATTCCTTGGTCCTGGGGGTTAGGACATCAGCATATGCAAGTGGGGGACACACCATGTATGTAACACCAGCCCAGGTGGGAACGGGGGTGCGGGGCCTGCGGTTCCTGTAGAGCAAAGCATCGCTTCCTATTCCCAGGACTCACAGGGACGAGGCAATGCTGCTGGGGGCCGTCCTGGGCTCCCTGTCCTCATAACAGCCTTAAACGGAGCAGCAGTTCACGAAACACTTTGTTATCTCTATTCAGTCTTCGAACACAAGTTACCCACCTTCTGTCCCCCAACCCAGCCCTGAACGTGCTCTGGCAAAGGGGGCGCCTGGTTCCCAGATTACCACACTGACCCCTACAGCGCCCGCCCTGTGACTTCTGTCTCCTTGAAGGTCTGACGTCTGTGCTTCCGTGTTCTCTCCTCCTGGGCCTCCTCCCAAGCTGCCCTGTCAGCGATTCTTTGTTTGGACACATCTGTCAAAGCTGCTTTGTGCCAAGTTTCTGTTACGGGGCCCCTCCCCTCCCCCCTTCTCCTCACTGTTCCCCTTTTCTCACTGACACTGTCATACTCAGAGGCATCTCACCCGAACTGTATCGTAACCAGGAACTCTGAGGTGGCTTCCCAGGAGCTTCTTAAGGTAGAGGGAGATGGAGTGACATTTGCATTTTTTTCTTGGAAGAGCTTTTATCCAAAGTTTAAAACTTCAACCATGTCGGTGCTTCCTGACTCTTGCTTTTCTCCAGACCTGCCTTCTGAGTCCCAAGGCCACGTGTCCCCCTGAAATCACTCCAACACCTCCAAGCAGTAGTGTCACGGCTGGGCTCATTGTCCCCTCCGAAGCTGGCGCTTCTTTCTCCCTCTGTGCCCACAAAATGGACCGTCCTCCTGGTCACTCAAATCAGAAGGCCGAGCATCACCCAGACCCTCCTCCATCACCCCCGAGGCCAGCCGCTCACCCCAATCCTGCCTGGACCCCCCTTCCTCACACCTCTCCTTAGCATTTCCAGCTCTTTTTATAAAACCTTCTCTGCTAGCAGTCCAAGAACATACCGGCTGTCATTGTCCTTCACATGTCGTGCAAAATCCTTCATGCTCACCCCAGGGCCCAGTGTGTCCCACTCTGTGCCGAAGCCCAGACACGGCGGGGACCAGAGGAGCCGACTGCCTGCCCTCAGGGACGTCCCAGTCCAGACGCGGTGAGAACCAGCCGGGGGTGGGGGGGAGGCCAGGCCCTGCAAGAGGCCTGGGGACAGTGTCCTGACTTGCTTCACAAAGCCGGGAAGGCCCCAACCACCCAGCTGGCACTTCCAACAGGGATCAACAGGCCTTTCATTTGCACCTCACAACAGCTCGGCGGGATTAGCAGGTCACCGTCAGCCCCATTTCACAGATGCGGAAGCTGCGGCCTGAAGGGGGTAAGTGGAGGGGCTGGGCTCCCACGCCAGGCTCAACTGAAACGCAGCCCTCTGTGCTTCCCCGCGAGGCACTCACTACCCTCGGGGACGATGCCCAGCTCGCAGACACCCCAAGTTGTTGCTCATGCCGCTTCGTCTGCCTGCAATGCCTGTTTCCCTCAGAAACCTCCCTGCTGAACACAGTTTTCTCTGTGATGTAACTACAGTGTTCCCACGTCCACGTGGACTCCAGCCCACACAGAGCTGCCCCTGCCCTCTCGCGCACACACAGTTTCACAGATGCTCTC